CATGGCTCATTTCCCGTTCTACCTTGGTATTTTGTCAATACGTAAAGGAGTGATGTGGGATCCGTCACCCGAAGATAAACTGGGTCTAAGATTTGGTGAGCTGCGGTCTCTGATTCCCGTAGGGAACAGTGGTCCTTAGAAACTCAAATCTGTCCTTCCTTGAGGACTCCCGGCTTTACTGCTTCCTGTTGGGCTGGTGGGAAGGGGGTGCAGTATCTACACGGATAAGGCTGGCTTTGATACGTTAAGCAAGCCTTTCATTTCCTGCGCGTCCAAAGGAAGGCCCAAAGAATCCCTACTAAACACAAGCTGGAGCTGTATTTGTACGAGTCCGTCTGTCTCTAAACAGCACACTGTAATGTCTGCGCCTCAGCCCAGGCCGCGGGGACAGGTCTATTGATGGTTTCATCTGGACACTCTAATAGTGAAAGGTAGGTATTCTTTTTCCTTCCCCCCTTTCTTCTTTCTCCTCCTCCTCCTCCTCTTCTTCCTCCTTTTTTCTTATGGTAGGCACTTTTTCTGAATATGCTTTGTGACTATCCATTTTTTTGGGGCGAAGGGGGTGTTTATGTTATTTCTTCTTTGTTCACAGTGAGTAAAATCTATAAGAGGTAAGAGGCGTGGCTTATGTTTGCCCAGAAGGGCTCAGAGCGAGGACGAAGATATTCTAAGCACGATTCCATTCTCTCTCGGGTGTAGAACTCCAGCGGGTGGAGTGGGTAGTGGTGGGATTGAGCTGCCGGTGCTAGATGGTTCCTGATCGTTGAGTGTGCAGAGGCCCATGGCCAGGATCCACCCCCTGTTGGCAGTGGTCAGGCTGGTGAATTAAATGGGCACGTGATGGAGACCACAGCCCTGCATCCTGTCCTCTCTGAGCAGGGCTTCATCCCGGGCCACTCCACACTCCCTTAGCGAAAGGGGATCCCTGTGGCCCTTTAGGTCCCATCCATCTGCATTCACGTGGACTTTGTATCCAATAACCAGGAAATAGCCGAGTATCCCTCTTTGCCGGTGTATGGTTACTGAGTCAATTAAATGGCCGGAGCTCTCTTTGGGGCAGGATTTGAGGAATCGCTACTGTATACCCTTGCCGTGGGCCTGGTCTCTTGCCGAATGGGTGTTTGGTCTGAGAACTGTCTCAGGGAGGGAAGCTGGGCGGGAGACTGTGACTCTCCCATGGGACAGCTGGCCTCAGTCTCCTGCACGCCCAGATGTGACAAGTCTGCCTGCATGTCACTTGATTATACGCATGTGCCTTTGGTGACCGCCCGTCTATCTTGGCCCATGTTCGGTCAGCCATCTCCATGGGTCTCTGCGAGTCAGCTGCCCCCCTCTGCCTTTCGGACCCTGCCGCCCACGACAGCAATCACGCCAGCTCGGTCTGATAAGTGCCGGCCCCCAGCCTCTGTCCCGCCAGCCTCCTGTCCTCCACCCCTTGTCCCTAGAGAGCCCCGCTCTGTAACAGCGCCCCTGTCGTCAGGCCTGGAGCCTACAGATGGCAGCCACCACCGACATTCTCAACAGAGCTGCAAGCGCGCCCACCGCCCATGGCCTTGGCAAACCCTCCGGGCCTTCTCGGGCAGTAGAGTCGGCTGCTAGTGTCCGGTCCAGCAGGTGCCCTTCCCTGAGCCGAGTGGTCCCTCCCTCCACCGGAAGCCATGGCGTCTCAGCTTCAGTCCATGTGACCCTTCCTCTCGCCGAGTGCCCTCCGTGCCAGGTACCTGAAGCAGCCCACACTGGCCCTTGACGCAGTGTCCAGCCTATGTGACGGGGGTGTTGCCATATCGGCAAACTCTCCGTAATTCCTCCCCCTTGGTTTGGTCCCTTTGGGACCCATTTTCAGCCTTATTTCCAACCCTGCTGGTCTCTGTTAGCCAAGCCCCGCGGCTCCTCCAATGCGCAACGCCTCCCGAGGCAGGCCCAACACTGCCGTCAGGCCGGACCGAGCCCTAACCTTAGAGAATGGTCTGGTGGCCAGGAGGATTATGGGGCAGAGCCTGAAGAAGGCATTGTCTTGTATAGCTCACGTGTGGCTTCTGCACAGACCTCCAGTTTTGGGGGGGAGGGGCCCCTTCATCAGGCCCAGGTAGTTCTGAGGAGTGTGGAGTTGTCCTGTGGTTGGATGCCCATCCTGTCTCGGGGCTCCACCTCTTCTTTATCGGGGCCCCGATTTCGGTGTAGGTGATGGGCCCTGGCTGGGGAGTCACCGTTTCTGAAGTTCTGCTCCTTCGAAAGGAACCTGAGCCTGCTTTCAGGCCTCCGGGCCCTCACGCTGCAGGCTGCCCAGGAGGCCCGGGCTTCTACGCTCTGCTTCATATTGATGACGGATTGCTCAGGGCCTGTTACTTCCCCTCGTGAAAACATCCGTGGCCGTCTGGTTCCACGCTTCTAGTTACTATTTCCCCCCACGTCCTCAAACATGAGAGATCGAATATACCAGCGCATGCCCTTCTCCCGTCTCCCATCCCCGTCCCCCCGGGTGGGAGTCTTACACCGTCACGCAGCTATCAGCATCCCACCTGTCACCCAGACCCTCTCCTTGAACTCTGCTTCTTCGGATCATTCCTGGTAACTATCTTAAGCTGGGCCGCCTGGCGGCAGGCTTTGAGAGGGAACTCAGGTGGCCGTGCCGCATTGAGGGAGCTCTCTGGGGAGAGAGTATGAAGGGAGAGGTCAGGGAGAAGCGTGAGCAAGGCAGGAGCCTCAGTGGGAGAGGAGCTGCGTTCTGGTCCCACTGGAACATGAACTGCTGCACAAGACTGGTCACAAGCTGAGGCCAGGCCTTTCTGAACCCGGGCCAGCGAGCCATTGCTGTAGGCTGTGAGCGGGAGGGGGGCGCCTAACCTCCCCACAGAGCAGCTCCCCTGCGGCCAAGGACAGGTGCCAGGAGGAGGGGCAGCTGTGAGTTGGCAGGTAACAGGCAGGGCAGCTGGGAGGGGAAAGGGCGTGGTCAGCCGTGGGGGATCTGATTAGGGCCACACCGGCCTGAGGCTTCCTAAGTGCCTGCAGGTCCCAGAGAATCCAATTGTTCCCCCTGTAACACCTTCGGCTCTTTGATCATGTAATTACCCAGATTAGGAGGCACAGAGACAAGTGTGGTAAAGACCACTGGCTAAGGAATTGCTGGAGGTCACAGGCTTGTTAGAAGTGAAGTGAAATCTTTCCCAACAGCGTTCACTTGGGATTCAGCTCTTGTCGGAGCAAAAGGAGTTTCTGCATCTCAGCCAAAGGCACCGCTGCTGGAAGGCAGGGGCTTCCTGATACCCCTTCTTGCTGTCACTTTGCTATCGTAAGTGGCACTGAAAGGCTTTAGAGCGGGGTGGGGGAGGTCCTGCCTGCGGGCTGCATAAAGCCCTCACAATGTTTGGCCTGGCCCTGACAAGGTAATTAGGGGGAGGTAATTAAATGTTTGACCAAATACTGCAGGCTCATTTTTAAGTTGGTAATTTGCCCCCAAATGATGTTATAAATATCCCATTGGCCCTTGGCAGGAAAAAAGGTTCCCCATCCCACCCCACTTTAGAGGAAAAAGGCCTTTTTGCTTTCAAGGCACAGAGGAAGGTGGAGGGGGCTGTGCAGTCCCCCCTCCAAGAACCTGTTCTGGGTGGAGAATGCTAAGGGGTGTTTCTTTTTTTTTAAAAAAAAATCCCTTTTCCTACCCAGGTCGCTCAGGCACTGTATGAAAACACTGGTTGCAGGCGCAGTTCTTCAATAGAATAAAAAATGAAATTAGAAGGCAAACTTTTTAATTTTTATTTACTTCAGAGAGGGACAGGAAGAGAGAGATAGAAACATCAATGATGAGAGGGAATCATTCATTGGCTGCCTCCTGCACGTTGGACCCGAGCCGCAACCCAGGCATGTGCCCTTGACCAGAATTGAACCTAGGACCCTTGGGTCCGCAGGCTGACGCTCTCTCCACTGAGCCAAACCAGCTAGGGCTAGAAGCCAAACTTTTTAAATGTGAAGCATTAGAAAGGAAGCATTTTAAAGTACCACAAAGCTCAGGTGAATATTAAGGATTTGGCCCCTTGATTCCTTCTCATCATGTATTTAATCATCTGAAAGTCATTTGGAAAAGGCAAGCAGATTACTGAGTCCATCCCTATGGCTGGCCTGTTCTTATAAATCTCTCTCTCTCTCTCTCTCTCAACATCAACATGAGAGAGAGACATCCATTCCTTGCCTCTCCGTCATACGGGACTTGAACCCGGGACCCTCCGGCCTGAGGACAGGGCCAGGGCCTTACAAGTCTCTTAAGAGTGTTGAAAGGGCCCTGAGGGTGAAGTCCCGTGACTGTTACTCATCAGAAGGTAAGTTGTGCTGTTAACTTTGAACGTGGGCACTGAATCTGGGAGGTTTGAAACCCACCTTGTCCTTTTTTGTTTCCTCGGAAAATGTCAGTGCTCTGCTCCAAACACACAACTGGTATTTTATCACCTTAGCGATCCCTTTCCACAATCACTGTGAAGGAAGGGCTGCCATGAAAGACTTGTGCAATCTGTAGTAAGACTGTGATGGGCGGGACTCAAGCGGGGTTTTGTGGGAGGGGCCCAAGGTAGGCGTTCTATAAGGCTTGGTTCTCAACCTTCTGGCCCTTTAAATACAGTTCCTCATGTTGTGACCCAACCATACAATTATTTTCATTGCTATTTCATAACTGTGATGTTGCTACTGTTATGAACCCTCATGTAAATATCTGCTATGCAGGATGGTCTTAGGCGACCTCTGTGAAAGGGTCGCTCCACCGCTGCCAAAGGGGTTGCGACCCACAGGTTGAGAACCGCTGGTTAGCCAATGTCGGAATGGGGTGTTTGTAGGAAAAAGTCTGCAACTAGAGGCTTCCCTGCCAGGCGAAGGAATTTTAGACTTTTTTGTGGCTCTGAGCCCTGAGCCTCATCTGTCCTGCGCTTCCGAACGATGGGCCCGCGGTCGGAAGGTTGCAAGGGAGGGAGAGACCAGAAGGAAGCGCGGAGAGAACCTGGGGACGGGCGCGCAGGAAGGTCGCCTGAGGGGAGGAGGTCGGATCGCAGCCCCTGGGCAGGTGTGACTGGGCGATAAGGGTGAGGCCTGTGAGAGGGCGGGAGAGGGCCCCAGGTTAGGGAGGTGAGTGCCACGTCCCTAACGCAAGCAGGGACCCACAGGGAGGAGCAAGGTGGTGGCGGACGAGATGCGAGGATGCATCGCCGCGTCCTCCGCGGGGCTCGCGCTGGAGACCCATCAGTAGGAGGGACCTGGCGCTGGTTTCGTTGCCCCAAAGCCCGCGGGATGCTCGGACCCGAGAGGAACCCGTGCTGGTAAGGGCCCGGCCTTGCTGCGGACTCAGGTACCGTACCCTCCGCTTCCCGTAACCGGTTAGTCTGCGGCCGCGGGCGCACCGCTG